TAATGATAGTGAAACAAAGTTACAGGTTACATCCTTGCAACATCGCAGAACTGTTAGAGATCAATTATTTCTTTACAAACTTATTAATGACCTTTTAGATTCACCGTTCCTTTTGCAGGGGATTGGTTCCCCTTGTCCTAATAGAACTAGGTCTGACAACACGTTTGTAATACAATTCAGCAGGACCAAGTTTGCTGCAAATAGTTTTATATCTAGAGCAGCTATAATAAATACTTCAGCTTCTTCTTCTAGATGGGGCATAGGCTCCTCCGTGGAGTAAAGTAAGGAATGGGTGCTATGACCCCGTTACTGGCTCATGTTATGACCCACCATACTGACCCAGTACCGTTATGTGGGTGCTAACGACTGCAGATACAGCCGGGACCAACGACTTAATGTGCTTATAACTATGTCGGAAACAATATATAACTGAACTACACAAATATATGAATAGGGGTGATGACGGGGTACAGTAAACGTAATTCTATTTAGTCCATCAGTTAGATGATCAAAAAATAATGGACACGTATTTTTTCTTTGGGCAATCAACCCAAAAATGACAAAGTTATAGCGCGTCAAAATTTAGGAGTAGGGGCTCGTGACGTCACTTTTGAGTGAATTTTCACTTATAAGTGTACTCAAACGTGACGTCATGCGACTTTTCAAATCAATATATCTCTGCAATATTTATATTATATGAAAAAAGAAAAAATACGTGTCCAATACTTTTTGATAATCTACCTGATAAACGAAGAAAAAAAAATTAGTCATCATCCCTATTCCCACAATATCTGATCATGATCAGATGTTTGACGCTTTATTCTTAAGTGTCTTAACAATGAACCAAGAAATATTCTAAAACATTTAACAACCATGTAAGCAGTTGAGCTATCCTAATATCAGGAGTATGTTCATACAAAAACTCAGAATACCAAAAAACAGCACAGGTGCTTACATCAAAAGCTATTACATCAGAATCGTGTTATATCTCATCTACCCCAAATGTCGGAGTAAATAAATTTTTAATCAATCTAGCGGGATATAACAAACCCCAGGATCGAAATTTATGAAGATGAGACTTGATTAATTGAGCTGAAATGCTGAATGACAATGGTATTTCATTTAAGGGTATGTACCTAGATAAATATGCTGGTTTTCTTGAGTCTACTTGAGGAAGTCAGCCTTATTATGTCTCCACTACTAGGACACAGGCCTTCCCTATGGATAAAATAGAGAGAATGGGTTTAGACCCACTCGGACTGGTGATGGGTACTAACGCCTACAAATGCAACCATGATCAACAGCTTTACGTGCCTTACGAACCACGTAGGAGGTAAAAATAGTAATATTTTCGTCACCTATCCTATAACAAGTTATTGCAAAATTCGCTGGAATTTTACGATCGCAGATCCAACATTCTAACCACTTGTGCCATCGAGATTTTATTTTGAGTGACTGCCTGATAGAAATTATTCTGTTCATCTTGGAGATTGAACTCCTTTCACACATTGCAGCAGATGTGGTGGCTAAACCTTGCACTAGATAATATCCCCACTGCTGGGGCACAGGCCTTCCCTATAGATGGAATAGGGAGATTGGGCCATGACCCACCACTCGGGCCCAGTGCGGATTGGTGGGTGCTAACGACTGCAGATGCAGCCGGGACCAACGAACGGCTTAACTTGCCTTCCGAAGCACGGAGGAGCTCGAGATAGAAGATTTTTGGTCACCCATCCAATGACCGACCACTGCGAAAGTTGCTTAACTTCAACTGTCGCAGCCGAACGCGCTAACCACCTGCGTCATCGAGCTCCTCTTACCAGATTTTAGTAGCTGTCGAATTATCTTCTTAATCCTCATCTTCATCAATATCTTATTCAAAACTGTAAATCTTACTGATTCCAGAGCAAATGATTTTATAATTATTTTTCAGCTACGTCATAGGTACTTAAGCGGAATTCAAGAAGCCATCAGCTTTAATATAGCAATTCTTGCAAACGCGATTCGCGCAGCTACATCGTTATCTCCCGTAATAATCGTGACATTCTTAACGATCATGTGGCCCATATCGATAGCGATATCGATTCCGTATTCCGAATGACTAAACCATAACACGGGCATATGTAAGCAAAACAGTAATGGCATTCTCTGTTTGATTGATGCTTTTTGTTACTCGGACCGACTCCACGCCACAGTTGGTGTGAAATCAGTAGTATTTGGTACTAGCGGCCCGCCCTCGCTTCGCTTCGGTGTAGAGCTGAAGTGTAGACTACAATTTTTGTTCTCAGGCTTGTATTATACACAACGACATTCGTCTATGATTCTTCTTATACCTGCATGCAGTCTCAGCCCGATCGGTTTAAAATTGACAAAGTTTCATACAAATTTTCATTCCCTATTTTATCCCCTTGGGGGTAGCATTGATCAAAATCCTTTCTTAGCGGATGCCTACGTCATAATATCTACCTGCATGCCAAATTTCAGCCCGATCCGTCCAGTGCTTTGGGCTGTGCGTTGATAGATCACTATGTCAGTCAGTCACTTTTGAGTTTTATATTATAGATAAGATTTGTAAATCGCGCGCTAATGTAGGAACTAATCGAAAATGACGACGCAACACATTCTGTGCCTCTTACACTTTATCCTGACAAGTTTTTGATAGAACAGAATAATAATATATTAGTTAGGTTTTCACGCACACCACTCATAAAATAAAACAAGCTTCAACGGGTTAAATGCGTTAATTTATCACTATTATAACTATCGAGAATCTCGATGGGGCAAGTGGCTAGTGCGTTCCGCTGCGATCGTTGAAGTTTAGCAACTTTCGCTGAGATCGGTCATTGGATGGGTGACCAAAAATTTACTATATGTAGCTCTTCCCTGCCTTGGAAGGCAGGTTAAGCCGTTGGTCCCTGCTGCATCTGCAGTCGTTAGCACCCACTAACCGCGGGCCCGCGGGGGGTTTTGGCCCAAACTCCCTATTCCATCCATAGGGAAGGCCTACGCCCCAGCAGTGAGGACATTAATATTTATAACTACCACAACTTTTCAAGAATGGTCAATAAAGAACATTGATTCCATTTACTCGTTCATCTATTGCACATTTTTTCTACGAAATCGCTTCGGAACTGTACTTCAACATGGCAAATTAGGCTTTAGGTCTGGAGTGTTGTAATGAGACAAAAGCGCCATATTTCCAGCACACAATCACAATAGCTCCAACTATTCCATGGTCACATAAATACCGTGTTATATTCACACTTATGTAGGAAAACACGGTTCAAACAACTTTTCTAACAACTTTGGTAAAACGCAATAAATGTTCTAAAGTCTGAAGTTTCTACAATATTTAACTTTGTGAAAACTAAGAAAATAGGGTACAATACACTTTGTAGTCCAACGTAGTCTACTACATGATCACTTATCTGTGACACAAAGAAGACGTATTTATCGTTTTTTCCCCCTACGTAATGCGTCCGTAAGGTATTCACAGCAAAATGAACGACGTAAACGTAACAAAACAGAATATACTAGAATTATCGAGAGGCGTTTATTTATTTATTTATTCTTTATTACCAAAAACAGTAAATGGTGGACTTAATGCTATAGGCATTCTCTACCAGTCAACCAGTATGGGTGTATGAGACGGCGTTGTGCAATGTTTCAGAATAAGTTAGTAACGTAAAGAAAAGAGGAAATACTGAAATCATCAACATTTATTAACAGAACAGTTATTAAATATTTATTTCTTAGATTTTTACGCACATCACTCATTAAATAAAACTAGGTTTTTTTTTATTCGTAGCCTGTAAAGGCTACATACATAAATAAAGTTTCGTGCAATAACCCGTAAAAAACTAGTTTTATTTAACAGTTATTAAAGTTAAACCATTGATGCAACGGCAGCTGTCCCGCCTTACTGACGATAGTATAATGTAATTCGCTTTTTGTAGTATTTTAAGGATTTATTATTGGTATGCGAAATTGATGGCTTAAAGATAATTTATTTGTTTCTTAGGTTTTCACGCACATCAATCATTAAATAAAACTAGTTTTGCTATTCCAAGGGCGAAACATACGGAACTGTATATTCTTTTACCAACTTTGACACACTTTGTTTCATGCACATAAACCTTTCATCTCATTTCATCGCTGGAGTGTCATATTTTTCTATGGCATCAGCTTTATTTATAACTGATCTATTCTTACACTTAACATTTGGCTAAGTGGGCTTCATTAACTACGAAATTGTAATCAAAAGCTAGATTTAAATGAACCTTAAAATATTTTTTCACGTGGTAAAGGCATCAGGCATAATTCGAACCTACATCTTTGGTTATCCGAGAGCACGCTATAACCAATGATGCTAGCGAGACCTTAATGGTCGTGTGGAATTTCTTCTAGTATTTCTTTAACTGCAAGGCAGTGCTATCTTTACGCGTTGTAGGCAACCCGCAACATTAAAATTTGAAAGAAGTTTCAAATGATTAAAAGTATGACGTTTAAATTCAAATTTAAAATTGAAGTGTATTTATATTTTAATTATATATTTATCATCATCATCAGCCTATTAATGTCCCCACTGCTGGGGCACAGGCCTTCCCATTATTCTACCTTCTTCATCTGACCAATTAAAATACTGTAATTAAATAAATAAATAAATAAATATTTCCGACACTCACACCAATTAGCCTAGCCCCAAAGTAAGCACTATAAGGCTTGTGTTATGGGATGCTAGGGTAACGGATAGAATACATACACTGTACATATATAAGTATATTTATATAAATACATTTTAAACATCCATGACTGGAGTACAAATGCTCGTATTCATCACACAAACAGCTGCCCCCACCGGGATTCGAACCCGGGACCTCTCGAGTCGGCGACAGCCATGAAACCCGGCGTACAAACCACTCGGCCACGGAGGTCGTCAAATTAAAAATTAATTATAGAGAAGTTAATGTCTCAAAACTAACAGCTTCACATCTTTACAGACCCACCGTCAGCACCGATGATCACAGGCTACATCCCTGGTACCACGCTGTCAGCGGGCACAGTACAGAAGCTATCCTGCATATCCTCAGGCGGCAACCCGCTAGCGACCCTGACTTGGTTCAAGAACGACAAGAAGGTAAGTGCATGAAAACTATTCGTTCATGACTAATTTGTTGAGCGGTATAAGTGTCACCGCACACAGGCCACCCACCACAGCCACAAACGCCGCCACGAGAAGCTAGAAGCGGCTACTAAAGTGGCTGAAGCGCGCGACAGCGGCCGACTAAGGTAAGGGAGAGAGGGGTGAGGAATCACGCGAGTGACTTGTGGCGGCGTTTTGTATCGGCCGGTGCGGGCCACAAGAAGCGAGCGACGACGATTTGTAGCGTGCAGCGGCCACCATGGCGTACCATGTGTGGCGAGTCCATATAAAATGTATGAAAACTACAAGAAATATGCCGGTGGCGGCGTTTTGTGGTTGTTGACACTAACTATGGCGAGTTTTCGGAGGAATGATTCTCCCTTAAACATTATTCGAGGAGCTCGATGGCGCAGGTAGATAGCGCGTTCGACAGGCTGCGTTCGGAAAAGTTATCTTTCGAATTGGTCGGTCATTGGATTGGTGGCCAAAAACTTATTGTCTCGAGCTCCTCCGTGCTTCAGAAGGCACGTTAAGACGTTGGTCTTGGCTGCATCTGCAGTAGTTATCACCCACTTATCCGCACGATGGCCGCATGGAGGATCATGGCCTCATCTCCCTATTGATTGTCTATTGTTACATATTTGACATTATGTGATGTGAGTTGAAGTTGACCTCAACACATGTTTGCAAGTTTGATGTCAACTTTCAATTGGACGACACTGTATGAAATAAAACAGGGAGAAAAAAGCAGCCCTTGCTGAGTTTCTTGCCGGTTCTTCTCAGTACAAGGTCTCCCGCCGTAGATTTGCGAACCGATGGCGTAGCTTTTCGACATTCACAAGTGCTTGTAACAGCGTAGACTGAATAAACGATATTGAATTTGAATTTATTTCATAAGGACGACCTGTACCCTTAGTACGAGTTTGAGCTCACGAAAACTATCATAGTTTTCGTACCTAATTGTAAATTATGTTTCTATGTCCCATTCTGGTGAAAAGTAACCAAATATACTTAAAATTTAAGAAGACGCAAATGATTTACTGTTAGAATTAAAACACTTTTTATTTGTATTGAATTGAAACGAAAACAATATAATCAGTACCCTTAGTACGAGTGCGAGCTCACGAAAACAATCATAGTTTTCGTAATTGTAAAACTCGTACTAAGGGTACTGTGCTCCAGTGGATACATTAAGGTGCTTTGCAGACGACGGGGCGGGGCCAATTTCGCCGCGAATAATAGCACAAAGTGAATCCTATACTTCAAACGCACACAGAGGGCAAAAAGACCACGCCTTGGGTGCCCGGCGGGCACTGGCGGCGCGGTATGTCCGCGGCTGCCCGCCGTGGATCATACAAACCAGTTTATATGCAGTAACGCAGACGGCGGCGCGGGGCGGCTAGCTCAGTCTGCGCCACGCGCTTATTAGTGATGGACTATTCACTAGAACGAACGTCCTGAACTGACCGCCTCTGCCCGTCGTGTGCTTTGTGTACGCGGCGAGGGCAGCCGCAGACATCGACGGGCAGACGCGGTCTTTATTGCTTCGCGGACAAAATGCCCGCCCCGCCCCGTCGTCTGCTCAACGCCTAATAGGTTGGTGATTTAGAGGACCACACGATTACGTTTCCACCGGGCTAGTGTGATCACAATTTCTACGTGACGGCATTTGAGACTTTGTCAAAGAATATTTTAGAAAAACAGCTCCAACTCATATTTAGTTCAAATCTAAAGAAAAGTTTTACTAGAAAAAAATCCACGCGGACCAGGCAGCGGACGGGACTCGAACCCGCACCCTTCGCAATCCGGGCGAATGCACTGACCAATAGGGATGATGACTAATTTTTTTTTCTTTGTTTATCAGGTAGATTATCAAAACGTATTGGACACGTATTTTTTCCTTTTTCACATAATATAAACATTGCAGAGATATATTGATTTGAAAAGTCGCATGACGTCACGTTTGAGTACACTTCTAAGGGAAAATTCACTCAAAAGTGACGTCACGAGCCCCTACTCCCAAACTTTGACGCGCTATAAATTTGTCATTTTTTGGTTGATTGCCCAAAGAAAAAATACGTGTCCATTATTTTTTGATTATCTAACTGACGGACTAAATAGAATTACGTTTAGTGTACCCCGTCATCACCCCTATTATGCTACCAAGGCCCTGATGGCCGCGTCGAAATTGTCACAGCCTTAAGCTGGAAGGCAGCGCCTCTTCGCATTGTAGGTAGCCCACAATGTCAAATGAATACTTTTTCAAGCATTAAACACATTTAGTTGCTTTTAACCATTAATTAATTTTATTGTCTATGTATGAATTTAATTTATATTTATTTAGTTAGGGTCAAATAAATAAACTCAAAATTACAAACAAGAATTTTAAATAAAATACTTTATTAATTAATTTTTTCTCCCGTAGATACACTCGGTCACGAAAACTAGCGACAAGTCGGTGTCCGCCGAGATATCGATACTGACCAATGTGACTGACAACCTGGCCCAGTACCGCTGTGAGGCGACCAACAGCGCCACTGAAATACCGCTCTTCGAAACTGTCACACTCAACGTGCACTGTGAGTATTATATGATTTATACTATATTCAAGACCACTGGTCTAACCCCACGAGAATACTTTATCATCATTACTTAAGAGCCCTTTCACATTTTTTGCAAAATATTGTAATTTTTGAGCGTCTCGTTTACCCCCATAGAAAAGATTTTGACTATTTCCAATAAAATTAAACAGTAGATTTATTCTTCCTATTCTAAGTTAATGTAGAATCTTTGCAAATACTATTTTCTTTTTTGTACTGATCGATCTACCGCAGCTAGTTAACATAATATGCACATGCACAACTTCAAACGACTGAATCTCTAAATAATGTTCAATAAATTAGATCAAATTAATTACTACGACATCAGAAATATGTTTATACTGTGATGAAAATGAAAAATGAAAATTCTAATACATAATGTATTAGAATTTTGATTTTCCATCTCATTAATTATCAAAAAAACATCTAACCTCCGTGAGTTTTCCCAAAAAACAATGCAAGTTTACCTGGTATTTTGATATTGAATTAAATAGAATAACTATCAAAACTAACTTTCATAAAACTAATCTACCATCATTGAACTACTGAAGTATGTATATATTTTTATAATTACTTTAATAATAATTATTTTGTAAGACTCGAAACATCACCCATCACGCGTTGATTAGTACGGCAGCGGCGCAATTTTGTAAAAGGGCTCTTAAAAGCAGCCATGCCATGCCATGGACCGTCTGCTCCTCTGCCTTCGAAGACAATAAATAAAAATTCAACCATACGATGCCCACTGCCAAGCATAGGCCTCCCTAATAGATCTCTGCGCTCATCGCTTGGCCTCCCTAATAGATCTCTGCGCTCATCGCTTGGCCTCCCTAATAGATCTCTGCGCTCATCGCTTGGCCTCCCTAATAGATCTCTGCGCTCATCGCTTGGTCTCCCTAATAGATCTCTGCGCTCATCGCTGCTAAGCTGTCCTTTTTCAGCGGCTACCCGCGACCTAACGAAATTGCTTACTACAAAATCTTATACATAAAATTCTCGTGTCACAATGCTAGTTCCCATACTCCTCCGAAACGGATTGATCGATTTTAATGAAATTTATATGCATATTCAGTAGATCTGAGAATCGGCTGTTATCTATTTTTATACGTCTAAGTAATGGCTAAAGATGCTATGTCCCGACTAAACAACATTTGGAAGAAAAGAGGAATCAGTATCAAAACCAAGATCAGACTGATACGAGCCCTGATATTCCCTATCTTCTTATAAAGCGTTGAATCGTGGACAATTTTAGCCCGAGAAAGACAAAGGATTGATGCATTCGAGATGTGGTGCTGGAGGCGAATGCTGAGAATTTCTTGGACCGCGAAACGCACCAATGCATCGATTTTGAGTCAGCTCCGTATAAATACTCGTTTGTCCACTGTATGCCGACAACGCATCCTATCATACTTCGGCCACACAATGCGCAGGCATGACGGCAATTTGGAAAAATTGATTGTTGTTGGGAACACCGAAGGCAAACGATCGCGCGGTCGTTCACCAACTAGGTGGACAGATCAAATAAAAGAAACGTCATCGTCCAAATTTTATACGGTTGTGAGAGACGCGCTGGACAGAAACCGGTGGAGGCAGATCATCCATTCCAGATGCAACCAGCATACTGACCACGATCCTCAGTCATGAGGGACCGACCAGAGAGAGAGAAGTAATATGGATTGTCCCCAACCCTAACAATTTATTTTTTGGACAATTCTTTTCTTCTTTATTTATTTATAATGTGGCATTAAAAAAACATACAACCCTAAATTTTTACCCTTCTACCACCAGCCCTTATTTTTATGGCGGTACGAAGTTCGCTGGTTTAGCTAGTAACTAATGAAATATTTCAGCGTATATACTGAAGGCGATTACATGAAACCTATCTCCTCGCATCTTCTTCTTCTTCTTTGCCGATTCACTATTGACAGAGCGGTCGTGGTCATCAGGTAGCGGTCAGGTTCCGGGCAGCCATAATCCTCTTTACGATGCGACGCCATCCTTCCCTTTCGGTTGTGCTACGTGTGCACTCTTGCAAGGGGCCGCCTACTGCCGATTTGATCTGGTCGGTCCAGCGCATGGGCGACCTGCCACGTGCCCTCGTGCCTTCGACCTTCCCCTGTACTACAGGACGCTCTATGGACGTGTTGTCCCGTCGTGAAACGTGCCCAAAGAGTATTCTATAGTAGTAGTAGTATAGTATTCGAGTCTGGACTACCTCGCATTTACCTTCATTTAAATGGATGAATTGAGAACAATGCTAAATGACGCAATACTTTTGCTCATTCATATATGCGTGTCACTTTTTGACAAAATGTAGTAATGTTAATACGAAATCAAAAACCCACAGCAAAACTTTAGGCATCATCATTTAACAGTGTGATCCTAATAATTAATACTTTTTTTTTTAGCCAGGTAGGCAAATGACTGCCCCACCTGATGTTAAATGGTGATAAAGTCCAAACGCGAAGATAGCTGGTACAGCAGTTATAAACTGCCACACCAACCATCCTCACAGCCCTGCAAAAATGCTTCTTCACGCCTCTATTAAAGGACCCCAGATTGCAGGAAGGAGGGAACACGTGCGCGGGCAAAGAATTCCACTTACGTATACTTTTAATGTTATTTTAAAAATCAGAATCGATATCCAACATCCAGCTGGCCTATTCGCTAACTGCTTTTGACAGATGGAAGTGATAATAACCGAGCTATTTGGCGATCTACTACAGCTTTATTACAACGCCACTGAGATACTTGTTCAGTAAACCATTGACGACCATCATCATCATCGAGGAGCTCGATGGCCAAAGTGGTTAGCGCGTTCGGCTGCGATCGTTGAAGTTAAGCAACTTTCGCAGTGGTCGGTCATTGGATGGGTGACCAAATATTTACTATCTCGAGCTCCTCCATGCTTCGGAAGGCACGTTGAGCCGTTGGTCCCGGCTGCATTTGCAGTCGTCAGCACCCACCAATCCGCACTGGGCCCGCGTAGTGGATCATGGCCCAATCTCCCTATTCCATCCATAGGGAAGGCCTGTGCCCCAGCAGTGGGGACATTAATAGGCTGATGATGATGAAACCATTGATGGATACGTAATTTTCTCTTTAGTTACACACTGTAAATGTCAAAACAATTAGCGAATACGCCGGCTGGTTATGAAATAATTATGACTATAATTATGAAAGCACTGCTCTTGTATGAATCAAAATCAACTTCAAACGTCCTTCTAATGAAATGCAAAAGATATCACTTCATCAACACACAATTTGAGTCAATTCAAACAAATTAGAAGCGAAAAATGATATTTTTTAATTCCCTCTCATCATAATAACGCCTCGCCCGCTGGTGGTAACTTTCTTAAAACATTAAAAGGAATTCATATTGCTTCAGCTAATTTAAATTTGTAATGAGCAACCTGTAATCAAGACCCACTCAGCATTCGGAGCGTTTCCATAATTCAAATTGTTATTGGAGTTTCGGCTGTTAGCAACCGCGCGGTGGATCTTTTCACAAATCGTTGCATTCAATAAACTCTTTCGCAGTTACGAAGACTTCTGAGACTCTTTAAATTAGTCGATACTTTAATTAACTAATACACCAATTAGGGTAAGAGACGTTGAAATAGAGGATAATCCTCAAGATAAACAATGCACTCATGATATAACACCATTTATATTCCATACAAAATATAAGTTAACGAAATATACACAGAGAGCCCTTTTACAAAATTGCGCCGTAGTATATATTGCATTTTACGGGTGATGTTTCGAGTCTTATAAAATAATTATTAATGAACTAATTATAAAAATAATGCATATTTCAGTAGTTCAATGATGGTAGATTAGTTTTATGAAAGAGTTTAATAGTAATTCTATTTAATTCAATATCAAAATACGAGGTAAACCTGAATTATTTTTTGGGAAAGCTCACGGAGGTTAGATTTTTTTTTTGTTTGATAATTAATGAGATGGAAAATGAAAATTCGAATACATTATGTTACAACAAAAACATATTTCTGATGTCGTAGTAATTAATTTGATCTAATTTATTGAACATTATTTAGAGATTCAGGCGTTTGAAGTTGTGCATATTATCGTTTTTCCCGTAAACTAGCTGCGGTAGAACGATCAGTACAAAAAAGGAAAATAGTATTTGCAAATATTCTACATTAACTTACAATAGGAAGCATAGGTAAATCTACTGTTTACTTCTATTGGAAATAGTCGACTGACGACCTCCGTGGCCGAGTGGTTTGTACGCCGGGTTTCATGGCTGTCGCCGACTCGAGAGGTCCCGGGTTCGAATCCCGGGGGGGGCAGATGTTTGTGTGATGAATACGAGTATTTGTACTCCAGTCATGGATGTTTAATATGTATTTATATAAATATACTTATATATGTACAGTATATGTATTCTATCCGTTACCCTAGCATCCCATAACACAAGCCTTATTATAGTGCTTACTTTGGGGCTAGGCTAATTGGTGTGAGTGTCGGAAATATTTATTTATATTTTTCTAAGGGGGTAAACGAGGCGCTCAAAAATTACGTTTTTTTTGCAAAAAAATTGAAAGAGCTCTTAAAGTAACGGCACGATTATATTCCTGATCAACGTGTGAAGATTTGTCAGAACAAGACAGATACAATATTTATTGGTAAAACAAATGACGCAATATTTGGCATTATGTGGGTTAAATTACGTAAGTCACAGTTTGGCAGCCCATCGCATACAAAAGTGTCCAAACAATTTCTAATAACTTTTTACAATAAGCATGATTAAGTCCGCATTCATATCAATACATTTGACTTATATATTCCAAGGTATTCAAGAATAGTTTTCTTTCGTAGTCGCTCCAGAGGCGGTCAAAGTGAGAGCGGAACCAGATGAGCTGAAGCCAGGACTCGAAGCTACCTTGTTCTGTGATGCAGCCTCCAGTAACCCACCGGCTACCTTGTCATGGTGGCGAGATGGCATACCCGTGCAAGGTGAATAAAACCTCTTGTTTTTTAAACATTGCAGTTAAGAGATAAATGAAGTAATATTAGCAGTACCCCTAACGTGAACCATTATCGAAAACGAATAGTTTGCGAGTGCGGAATGTCAATGTCAAATTTTGTATGGAAACTTGAACAGCAGCGGCACAAAGTACGTAACGAGAACTAGAAATCAGTACACATTTGACAATGACATTTCGGAGTCGCAAACGATACGAATTCGATATTGGTTCGTGCTAGGGGTACAGTTTGAGGAAATTCGATTGGGTCCTTTTTTGGACTTATGCAGTTGTTTTAGACTTATGACGACCTCCGTGGCCGAGTGGTTTGTACGCCGGGTTTCATGGCGTCGCCGACTCGAGAGGTCCCGAGTTCGAATCCCGGTGGAGGCAGATGTTTGTGTGATGGACACGAGCATTTGTACTCCAGTCATGGATGTTTAATATGTTTATGTACAGTATATGTATTCTATCCGTTACCCTAGTATCCAATAACACACACAAGTCTTACAGTGCTTACTTTGGGGCTAGGCTAATTGGTGTGAGTGTTGGAAATATTTATTTATTTATATTATTTATTTTTCAATGCGTAGTAACGCATTTAGAAGTATCTAATGTGAGTAATTTAAGAAATTATTATAGAAAATAAGTCTCTATCTAATTACATAATTACTATATATAAGTAAAATATAAATACTAGAACAATAAAACTAAAAACCTTAAAACATAAAATTAATAACTAAAATATATTATTAAAAGGAGTCCCTTTAGGCAAGGAACCGAAGATACTGGCAGCGTTACCTCTTTTAGTAATATAGATTAATTAATAATATTAATTCTTTCTTTTTTTTTCTTTATAGTAATTATGTAATTAGATAGAGACTTATTTGTTTATAGTTAGTGTATTTTATAGTTTTATGATGTGAAATTGTTTTTAGTATTAATTATTAATTTTACTCATATTATGAGTGTGTATGTTGTTGTAAGTCTGTATAATCTTATTTTTATTAGTACCTATTACAGCAATAAATGTCTTATAGAAAAAAGATGAAATTAAACTGGGCTGTGATGTACGATTATATTAAAGAGAGCTATTCTCATTCGGTATATCTGTTAGAATATGTATAATTTGTTTAAATATAATGAAGTAAATCACACATTTATAATAACTTCCACATCTGTTCATAAATGAGGATGTAATTAATGTAAGCAAAACATCCATTCATCGTCGAAACCTCGAATGTAAAAATCTCAATGGCCCATGTTATTCTGGCAGAACAAATTATATGATTTCAAGCTAAAAATAAAATATCAATTAAAACAATTTAATCTCGTATGATTTACGCAACACGAAATCATTCTGGAATTTAAGTGATTACGTGAAACGAAATCCTGAAGCTAACGCAATTAACTGAAATTAAACAACTCGTTTTTATTATAGCAAAATTTTAATCAACCGGGTGTAAGGCGAAAGGGGAAGTTTGTGTTACCTCGCAAATTTTCGGTTGCGTTACGTAAGACTGGTGCCTGTTTGCAATGGTGTAAATGTAAATTGGCAAAATTTAATTGTGGTTACATTCGGTTAGTTCCGATGAAAGCGTGAAGACGACTAGTCTTCTGTTTTCATAAAATTATTTTTGGAGTTTACTCCTTAAGAATTGATTTGCATATATAAGAGGCCCGGTATAAGAAAAATTTGAGAGTAAAATCTATCGATGAATGACATTAGTGACCTCGTTACGTTTTTGTGCGCAACCTCATCTGCGCACCTTTCGGCGGAGGTCGTCATTTCAAATGATTGATTTGAAGTAGTTGTTGAAGTGGTTCGGTCTAGATATATCGCGTCAGATTTCTCAGCAAACTTATGTGTAGTTGTCAGTATTACACTAAAATTATTACTTCCGAATTCGCGTCGATTTTTATGACTCCACTGTCTAAAAATTTTACATCACAATCTACTTTAAGTCATATTGGTTTCTTAGGTTTTCACGCACATCACTCATTAATAAAAGTCATTCTGACGAAGCAGACCTGAAAAGGCTGCGAAACGTCAATAAATAAAGTTCGTGCATTAACCCGTTAAAACTAGTTTTATTTAATGAGTGATGTGCGTGAAAACCTAAGAAACAAATATGTTAACCAGAACGGGCTGGAAACCGCTAATAAGATCCGCCGATTGGAAGGTCTGAAGACAAAGCGCGCAATAAAAAAACATTCTGACGAAGCAGACCTGAAAAGGCTGCGAAGCGAATAAATAAATAAAGTTTCCTGCCCGTTTTAACCCGTTCATCATCAGCCTATTAATGTCCCCACTGCTGGGGCACAGGCTTCCCTATGGATGGAATAGGGAGATTGGGCCATGACCCACCACGCGGGCCCAGTGCGGGTTGGTGGGTGCTAACGACTGCAGATGCAGCCGGGACCAACGGCTTAACGTGCCTTCCGAAGCACGGAGGAGCTCGAGATAGTAAATTATGGTCACCCATCCAATGACCGACCACTGCGCAAGTTGCTTAAATTCAACGATCGCTGCGGAACGCGCTAACCACTTGCGCCATCGAGCTCCTCAACCCGTTAAAACTAGTTTAATTTACTTTAAGTCAAGTTACGTTCAATAATCAACTTGACCGAGCTCGCTCAATCTTTATCTTAAAATTCTGATATTATTGTTTTTCTTTAGGCCAACCAATGCAACTGAAGAAAGGACTCCATGGAGGGACAGTGTCGACGATAGAACTGAAGCTGAACATTACTAAGGACATGAACGGGGCAGTCTACACTTGTCAAGCTACCAACGAAGCCTTGCAGAGAAGCGTCCATGATGCACTGAGCTTGAAGGTTCTATGTAAGTGTAGGAAGGCCAAAGGGGAAGATCTTCCCCCGAGCTGGGTGATGTTAGCTCGGGGGCCGCGGCCCGACTGATGTTGGTCAGGCATCGTATATATGAAGAGTTAGCTTCGAAATTTCATTTGCGCGATGTAGGCTTTCATACTATTATTGATCGCAGTGCAGGTAACGCCATCTCTTGAGGATGGTGAGTAATGATTTCCTCCATCCGTTGTCTATATGTGGGGCATATAGATGTCGCCGCCACATAAGTAATAATATTCAATTCCTTAATCAACAATTGAAGTTCATTAGAAAAACTGATCATTTCCATGGCGAAAATTATCAAAACCTTTAGCGATAGAATCAACAGACTGTAGATATTTCTTAATAATGTCAGTAGGAGATTGATTTATTAGCATTAAAATTAATTTTCTTCCCTGGGTATTTCAGCAATACCTATAACGTAAAGATCCAAAAATAATCGCATAATAATTTCAAATTGAGTTTTCGACTGCAAGATTTATTACTTGTAGTTAATTGAGCCATTTAATGAAGCATTCATAGGTTTTCACTTATTGCTTACAACTACCAGGTTATTACCCTATGATTTAGCTCTATGCTTTGACAAAACTTATAATCAAAGTTAGAAGTATTCTTGAATTAAGTGCGTTAACATGTTATTTCACTTAAGTATATATTTTTAGACGCTCCCATATTCGACGAATCGATCCAAGAAAGCATAGCTGGTGAAGAAAACGAATCGCTGGTGATAATGCTCAAAGCTCATGGCAACCCAGGCAGCATCACTTACACATGGACTAAAGATGGACTACCGATCACTCAATCACCATACAGTAGTTCCAGTAAGTTACTTTTGAGATTGCATGCTTCATCATCATCATTCTGATAATTGTTTCCATTGTTAAGATTCTTAGCTTAGCATGCAGACATTCCTGAATCAAGGTTCTAGTGATTTTACCTTCTGTATTTAAATAGAAACAAAGGGAATACTTACAGACCGCAACCACACGCGATACTAATGTGTTCGATAAATTTGGTGCCAACGATTGCTTCTGTAGCCTGGATTACATGCTTTTAGTAGATTCCTGCAGCGCAGAATTCGTAATTTTCGTCGCCGATCTAGTATCGGCCGTTGCTGTAATTGCTTAACCTCTATAATTATAAACGGAACACAATATTCACTGCGTCGTTAAGAGAAATAGTAATTGCAATAGCCAAAACTCATATAATGCCAAAGCTCAATGAAATCTATGAAATATCCGGAACATCTCTCCTTTTTGGTATTTTAATATGATTCTTAGCAGTCGGAGCTTATGATCTCAAAAAATGTTACCTGGAATTAGGTCCTTTCCATTAGATGTTTGCATTCAAAAAATTAACTTTCTGATCCGTTCAGACGTTAAGTCTTATCTAATTCCTTTGTTTTTTTTTCATTGTTCTATTTTTCCCTTGTAATTATTATATTGTTCCAGGAATTTCAATTTTAATGTTTGACTTTAATCATTTTTATGATCTGGAAATTTTCTTTTCACTTAACCTTTGTTCCGACTGTTGCTCCCGTTTCAATATTAATCAGTAAAAAAGCTTTGACATTATACTACAGCCCTTTTAATTATAGATATTGTTTTGCTTTTGACTCGAGTTACTTTGGATAATTGACTCACATGTATTCATCTAGTATATCAACTAAAATCTCTGCGAACATTATTTCATTTTGTGCTTTAACAATTTTCCTTTAAATGCTCTAATAGATTGGATTTCTCATGAAATTCTCTAGAATTGTCTAAATATTGACAATTCTAAGTAATTCATTGTTCTTTTATAGTTACTAACACAGGCCTGAGAAGTATAAGATATTTTGATCGTATTTTTGTTTTTGTCTTAGACGATAGAATAATATCGGACGGAAACATGTTGAATATGACAAAACTATCACGCAACGACGCCGGAGTTTACACCTGTGAAGCTGTCAATTCTCAAGGAGCTTCTACTGTCAACATCACGGTTACTGTGCAATGTGAGTGCATGAAATAAGACAATATGGTAGTACATAAGACTCTTACAATGAATCAAACTTATTCGTGGCTAAAATGTATATTGTATTCTCAACAGATTCTGCGGGTATCAAATCTCTAACACAAAATGGTATCGCCAACCCTAATGAGGAAGCAGTTTTGAGTTGTACAGCAACAGGTAAGAATAACAATTTTGTAAGCTCTGATTCTTTAACTTTAATCATGAATTCATAAAAAATATGATACTTCTCAATAATAAGCAATTAATTTCTTACATATTAAAATTTAAAGGCATACAAGATAAAATCTTTCAATTAGTTACATCGATGGTCAGAGTAATTAATTATGTTAACTAGACTTAATAATTACTAAAACTTATCAACAACTTTAGCCTTCTATAATTTATTGACAAGACATCAATTATAGAACAGCTCACTTTAAACTTAATTACCGTAATTAAATCGATATAATATGAAAAGGACTTATGTTTCTGTGCTAACAAATTTAATTGATAACTATTGCACTATCAAAAACCGATGACGTCTACGAGTAAACTATTATAAATAACTATAGTATAGAAACCAATTATTACTGACAGAATGTTCTAAAGGAAAAAATACCTGGTGTTACCACTTTCGATCTATTTTTTAATTAGCGGGAATAGTTCATCTTTATAACAGGAATTATCTTCCAGGGAACCCACTGAATTCCGACCATTTCAAATGGGTGCGTAAGAACTACGATATCTCATCCAAATCCATTACTTTCGAGTCTCGGAACTCCACTAGCTACCTGACCATACCTAAAGCGACTAGAGATGACGTAGGCACTTTTCAATGCGTCGTAAACAACGGTGTTGGCGGTGAAACTCGCCAAGACGTCATGTTGGTTGTGAAATTCAAGCCGGAAATGGACACCTCCCCAAGTTTGGCCAAGTCCGCTTCCAATGTTGGCCACATTGGGAGGTTAACTTGCAAGTAAGTCACTAAACAATACAATATAAGTTAGATTATTGGATGGATCGATTTTGGAAGTCTTGATTTTAGTGTTGTTTGTTACATATCAAAACTTAGTATTACGATAGTACTTTTATTTAGCAAATTTAAAATTTTCAGAATATTTTAAACACTAATTTAAAGATTTCAAAGAGTCTTAATACACTTTCGTTTTCGTAAATATGATTTGGAGTGTTTTATGAAAGATCTGTTATATTAAAATATCAAAATGTAAGTATGATCTTACCTATAACCTAATATTTTAGATGCCAAGCAGCCCCAACGCCTAGCTTCACTTGGTCCAAAAACGGTGCCAAATTACCCGTCAACACTTCAACTAAATACTTCACCGAGTTCCACAAGATCGACGCCATCACTTACACGTCGATTCTGCTCATTAACGAAGTGAGCTCAGGCGATTATGGCTCATACGAATGCGGTGCCAGGAACGAAATGGGATTCAGCACTTCTTCTGTGAAACTTGATGTTACTAGCGCACCAGGTAAATATTTGATATCTGCTCATTATTATTTAACACTAGCGGCCGCCCGCGACTTCTTCCGAGTTAAGTTTTAGTTTTTTTTTTCTGAAATAAAAGTTTTTTTATAAAATAAAGGTAGCCCAAATTACTCCTTTTTACATCAGCTATGTGCCAACAATTTCAGAGATTAGCCGGAACAAATAAACAGATAGACAAAAATTGAAAAAAATGATATTTTACTGTATGTAAACACCAATTTTATTTATATGTATAGAGTATAGATTGCTAAAGGTTTCTTATGTATAAGTTCAGTGTGTCTGGTAAATTCATCGCGGATGGCTTGACGTCTATAACAGTTTCTAGAATTTCTCTGTATATTGATAAAGGTATAATACCTGTACAGAAAAGTTGAAAAAATAGCACCAGTTGTTATATATCTATATCAGACTGAAATTGAACCTCTAATCTTCGCTTTACTAGCACATCTTGTGTTTTTTTCTTCGCATTTCATACTGGTAGTTGATTTATAGATAAGTTCGCATAAGTTAAGCTAATTTTAAAAAGAAACATATTTTGTATTAACTTTATTTAATGTAAGTAACATGAAATTTGGCTGTCCTTCAATATCCGCAACTAATCCACCGTCATGTTAATGTAGAGTAAAGCTTTAAAGATCTATTAGGCATTTCCAACCAGTGCTTCTTCACCTATTAAATTTTTTGAGCGTCAGAATCAACTACTGTAAACAATCATCAAAGTCCTATTGTTCTTAATTCTTGAAGGATAAAAATAGATCAATCCAATGAAATGATTTTAGACTTGTCGTGTCTGATGCATTTTTTTTTTTTTGCAGATCAAGTAATATCACTGAGTTTGACGAACGTTACGCATAACACAGTGTCACTGGAGTGGGTTCCTGGGTTCGATGGTGGACTGACACCGTGGTATAGGATAAGATACAGGTAATAAAAATAAAATAAAGAATTTAACTGATTTTTTATCAATAAAAAATGTAATGAGTATTTCACTTTCTAAAAATCAAGAATTTTAGTGCCATACAAATCTAATTCGTATTACAATTACAAATAAGCTAGCTTTTATATTTACCATGGGTATTTTTTTCACCTAATTACTCATAGGTACACTCACTGTTATAATAACATTAACAGTCATCTGTTTGATCACTTTAAACTATTTTAGAGTAAATATTTTTTATCGTTTCTTTTTAGAAAAATATATGATGATACGTATAAATATGAAGATGTCAAGCCCAGAGACGCTACGAGTTACACTATCGGTGGTTTGGAGAGGAACACAGATTACGTTTTCTCAGTGATGGCTATCAACAACATTGGACAAAGCAAATATAGGCCAGATGACACTAAAGTTACAACACTTAGTGAGTATAACATTCATAACAAACAATTTCAAACTATAAATGCCTAGAACTTAAATGTATTAAATATTTAATACATTTAGGACTAATTGCACGAAAATTCTCAAATCAAATGAGGCATCGTTCTTATTGGCAACGATCGTACGATGACGCGATGCGATCTTATCGTGCGATGACAATAATGTTCTGAAGAAATCTGTATGTTTGAAAATCATCGTACATCAGTCATGGTACGATTGATGCCATTAATACAACGCCTAAAGGCTATATATGGTTTAACATTTTTCATCTTTGTCAATTGTTTAAAGTCAAACAGAGATAGAAATTTGATTAGTTCTGAAGTTTTGTTTTGAGAACTTTGATGCAAGTGGACGTTAAATATTTACTTATAATCATATATATAACCCATCTTAACAATGATTTTGTTCCATTCAGACTAAACATGTGTCCAATGCCTTATAAAATACTATATTTCGATCAGACTTGTATTATTTTAACTGTCATTAAAAAGAAAGAGGTTCTTATATCTTTAATTAATATATATGTTTTTTTTAATATGATTATAACTTTTTTCCACGCAACTTCAGACGTTATCCCATCATCAGTACAATCAAGTTCTGAGGAGTACAACTCCTACAATGTCCCTGGTGTATTCATAATCACCGGAACTATTGTCGGAACGGCTCTCATTTTGCTAAATGTACTGCTGATAGGATTCTGTCTTCACAGAAGGACTAATAAAAGGATAAGAGGTTTGATTGACTGGAATTTTTACCAGTAGTTTGAATTTTTGTCAGCCCCTTTTGATGTTGTATGTAGTTTAGAATGTTTGGTAGTAGTGAATTTGAAGAGTACTTTGTTGATATCGTGTAAAATGTGTTTGCTTCTTACGTGTTTTATCATTTCACTATTTCCTAGAAGTGCTATTTTATGAGAAAAATTTAAATTGGAATTATTATTTTAACAATTATCCATTTATTCGGTTTCCAAAAACTTTGGCTTTTGGTAATTCAAATTGCGATATCCGTTACCAGCACTTGTGAAGATCGAAAAGCTACACCATTGGTTCAAAATTTCTACGGCTTAAGACCTTGTACTGAGAAGAACCAGCAAGAAACTCAGCAAGGGCTGTTTATTGTCTCTATTATATACAGAGACGTCAAATAGAAAAATGACTTCATTAAGAGATAACTCATGAAGTCGCTTTCCGTTACAGATGTAAATGATATAAAAATTATGACTTAACAATAAAAAACTGATTTAACAAAGTTTAGGAATGCCGTGTACTATTGTTTAGACATAAAATTTTGTTATAATAATTATTTCTATGATTTCTGAAAAGTGAACCAAAATGTAAAGCAATCGAAATCTTTACTTAATTCTTGTGACCACGATACTTGCGACAGAATGTCAAGAATTGTTTGAAAATTTATTTCTCTCGATTTTTACCCATTCAAACGTTAAAAACGTCAAAAAACAAAACGTCATTCAATGTGAAATTGAAATCAGTGTGTTTATTATTAATGGCTCAAATACACTTGGTCGTTAGCCCGTATTTGATTCCGCGAAAGACATTACTGAAATTCGGGTACTGGGCTGGAAGACGGTGTCGGCTAACCAAAACGAAAACTACCCGAATACAGGTGTACTCGACTCCGTTCATTTACACTTAATCGTTTACCCGAATTCCACAGGCACTCGTATTCGGGTTAGCGACCTAATGTAATCGTGTCATAAGGAAAGTAATAATTCCAATTTTGACTCAATTAAGTGTCATTAGTAATCTACAGTTCTCTTTTCAAATTCACTATCATTATTTTTGTTTGCTTCATTGTCTTTAGTAGCTTCTTTTCTCTCATTAGCATCATCTGAAGTCGGTGAATTGAACGTAGTATCTACAGAAGTGGTAGAAACTGCTGACGTATCCAAATCAGTTATAGTATACGTCTCAATAACTGGTGCTGTTTTGGTGTTAATAAACGCTGCGTTAGTTGCTTGTTTTGTGTTGAAACGACGATCGAGACGGCTGAAAGGTAAGCTTTTTGTTTCATTGTCCTTTTACGTTTTATTTTCTTTTTTATCTTGCTATAGCAGTAAAGCATGGATTTGCTTGATTGGTATTGTACTATTAAGTATTAAGTTAACTTTCGTTGTAATGCCATTATAGACTATCTAAAATAGTTAGCCTGAATTGCAATAAATTTTAGACTGTCCATAAATTTGCCAAATAAGGTAAGTAAATAGAGGAAAAAATTACATACATCGTGTAAACACACTAAATCACACGTATTATTAAAATCAGAAGCAAAGAAGATATTAAAACCGTCAAGACCGAAATCAATATTCAAAAAAGTTAATTTTGCTTCAATCACCTAAACCTAAAAATCCGGCAGCATCATAATCTACAAAAGACACATTGAAATAATCCATAGGAATAAGCTAAATCACACGTATTATTAAATCTTAGACCATAGCTAAAATTAAAATATCAGACTTCTCTATTTAGCTAAACCTAGTGATAGAGACAACATTAAAATTAATATCGACCACAGAAATTCTTTCTCCTCAAAGTAAAATTTGCTATCTACTGGTAATAATTATGCAAGTAGTCGCTGCATTGTGAGAGCTCTTAAATCATACATCTATAGATATAGTCACATTGATATATATTTAACCTTAATTCTTTGAAATTCTAAGAACTAATTTGTGACTCGTTTTAGGCACAACATTTTTATTCTTATTTTTATTTTATTTATATTCATTATAATGTCAAAAATTGTTTATATTTTTTCTCTCATGTTTGTTAGACAGTATGTGGATAAATAATAGTGGGAATTATCTAGCTAGGCAATTGTTTAAACTTAATGTTATATTTTTATGTGTAAATTAATGCTGTTATTTCCTTAAAAATAAATAATCTCCAATGGATTTAACATCAAGCCAAATAACGTCATCGCCTCCGTCCACAGAACAAGCCGGCCAATCCTCCAAATCGGCCACTATAGAAATGTACGCGCCGTCCTCGTACAACGACACTATGACGGGCGAGACACTCAGCTCCGTGTCTGAGAAGTCTGAGACGTACTCGCAGGACGACGGCGACGATCGGCAACCGCCGCCCATACCTGAGGTGCCGAGTATGCCCAACAGGCATATGCTGAGTCAGGTATGTGAGACGTTTTATTATTACTCATAAAACTTGCTATGTGTTGATGCCTTAGACCTATTTGCGTTGTAGTTTATGAGAATGGCCAAGTTGGTCCAGAAAGCAAAATCTCCCCCAATAGAAACCACACAGTGCGTTGGAAAAAAAAATATTTTATGAACACAATAAATATTACATGGAGCTCGATGGCGCAGGTGGTTAGCGCGTTCGGCTGCGATCGTTGTAGTTAAGCAACTTTCGCAGTGGTCGGTCATTGGATGGGTGACCAAAAAATTCTATCTCGAGTTCCTCCGTGCTTCGGAAGGCACGTTAACACGTTGGTCCCGGTTGCACCTGCAGTCGTTAGCACCCGCCAATCCGCACTGGTCCCGCGTGGTGGGTCATGGCCCAATCTCCCTATTCCATCCCTAGGGAAGGCCTGTGTCCCAACAATGGGGACATTAAGAGGCTGATGATGATGAAATATTACATGAGAGGTTTGGAAGATTAAGAATAATTACTCTGAATCATCGTAGTATAAGGATTATTCGTGAAAGTAGGTTGGAAATTTAAATTTTAATCAAAATACCCTCTGGGGAAGTACCTTCTCCATACAGAAGACGTGACGGTGGAACAACTTAATCCAATTGACACATTAAAAGCTCATTTGAATCGTCCAATATTTTTTTCTTACGACTCATTGTGTCTGTATCATAACTGTGAGTATTTTTTGTGTCTTGTAGTAATTTTTTCAAAGTTTCGCCGTGATCGGGATTTGGTGTCTGACCAATTAAATGTCAGTTTGTTAATGAAGTGAAGTAAAAGATATTATTCTTTTTAAGAAATAAATTTCTTCAACCACAATTTGAATAAGTTACACCACCGTGAGTTACAAATATTGGACGATTTAAAATCTCTTTTGAATCGTCCAATATATTTTTTTCCTGACAAACAAATGTTTGACAACAATGCCAGTATCATATGTCCCTAAGTAGCTTTTGTGTCTGTGAGTAACTTTTTCAAGTCTTCATGAGGCAGGGGTTAGTGTTTAGCACAAGAAAAGTAAGGTTATTTGAAGTGGCACAAATTTTCACTATCTTCGTAATAGGGATGATGACTAATTTTTTTTTCTTCGTTTATCAGGTAGATTATAAAAAAATAATGGACACGTATTTTTTCTTTGGGCAATCAACCAAAAAATGACAAAGTTATAGCGCGTCAAAGTTTGGGAGTAGGGGCTCGTGACGTCACGTTTGAGTACACTTATAAGTGAAAATTCACTCAAAAGTGACGTCACGAGCCCCTACTCCCAAACTTTGACGCGCTATAACTTTGTCATTTTTTGGTTGATTGCCCAAAAAAAAAAAATACGTGTCCATTATTTTTTGATCATCTAACTGACGGACTAATTAGAATTTCGTTTACTGTACCCCGTCATCATCCCTATTGTAATTCTACTCACACTTAACAACATAAGAATTAGGGTAATTTTTTCATCTTGTAAAGATTAAAGTCATTTACGAACTTAACGACTCACTATAAAGTAATAATGTTCAACAATATCGTCGGCCGTAGATTTTCGAACGAATGGCGAAGCTTTTAAGACTTTCATAATTGCTTCTAACTGTCTGATTAAAATAAATGACACTGAAAATTGATCTTTTCGGATCTTAAATGGAGGGAACGAATTAATACCCATATCTATCTCACTTTATTAAAGAATGAATTTGAGATGAACAAATAGTGTGTAACGTTTTGTTTTATGAGTACTTAAGTACCTAAGAATCTCGTTTTTAACGCGGCAATTTTTCTTTGTCATTGCGTACAGTTATCACCGAACAACCTTCAGATTACGAGTGAATGGACACTTTTCACAATAGACTCGTATGCAGGTTTTTGTTTCCTAAAATGTTTGAGCGTTACTGATATTCTATTTGTTTGCGTCAATGATCGATCGATCGATCCTTTTCGATCGATACTTTTTTACACAGCAAACCGACGCCTACCTCTTAGAAGAGAAGAGTTCGGTAACGCTGCCATTTATATAGACGGCACGCCCCTAACTACGCTTAAAATCTTCAAATCTGCCTGATGTTATATCAAACTTCCCATCTTCAAAGCTGTCAGATGATGTGCCAAACCATTCTCTTATCACACAGCAAATGGAGGCTTAATTCTTAAATTTGTTGTTGATGTAACAAATCTCTCTACTTTTCCGATAACAAACCGACGCCAACTACGCCTAAATTCTTTAAATCTGTCTTGTTCTATATCAAACCTTTGCCCAAAGCTAACTGACGCCTACTTTCTGTATGTCGGATGATGTATCAAAGCCTTTCTTTGTCCAAGTTGTCCGAGCAAAGCAATCAATCAAACAACAAAAAAACTATTTAAATCTGTCTGACGAAATTCTCTCTTCTCGACAGCAATCCGACGCCTATTTCCTAGACGAAAAGGACTTGATAATGCTACCATCTATATAGACAACTCGCCCCTAACTACGCTTAAAATCTTTAAATCTGTCTGTTATAGTATCAAACCTCCCGTCTGCAAATCTGTCGGATGATGTATGAAACCACTCTCTTATCACACAGCGAAAAGACTCCAAGTCCTTAATTTTCTGATTGGTGCATCAAATCTCTCTTTTCAACAGCAAACTGTCGCCTATTTCCTAGACGAGCAAGGATTGTTAATGCCACCGCCGCTAGACTACCCGCCTCCCAACTACCCTTCAAATGTCAGTCTTCAAATGTCTATCAGACGCCTACTTTCTGTCTGATCGGATGCTGTATCAAACCCTTTCCTTGTCAAAGTCGTTCAAGCAAACCCATTAAAGATCAAAAAAATGACAAAACGAATAGCTTGTTGATTAAAGCAGCTTGTGAACTGACAGTTCATATTAATTTGTTTATTTTCCTAATTGAATGATGAGAATCATTTTGTTATAATTTAATTTACCATCATGTAATTCTTATTTTTATTAACCTTTTAGCATCGAGCATACTTATACCGAATAGGTATTATTATTTGTTTCAATGAAGCATGCTATTAAAAAAAAAAAAAAAAAACATCGATATATCTCTCTTATCAACGATATTTTTCAACATCGATGTTTTTCATGCAAACATCGATGTTTTTCAGAACGATGTTGCATCCCTACTGACGAACCTCTCTCTTTTCAATAGCAAACCGACGCCTATCTCCTTGACGAGCAGGGCTTGGTGATGCCGCCTCCCCTGGACTACCCGCCTCCCAACTACGCGGCGTACGAGGGCGTCGACCACGCGCGCACGCTGCCCCATCCACACCGGCACAAGGAGATCAGCGGCCATAGTACGCTGGGCAGAAGCGCCGGTAAGAACTCTGATAAAAAATCCTTTTCAGTTATCCAGGGATCTAGAGCCTGGGTTCCGAACCTGGGGGTAATTACCCATCCGGGGGTAAATCAGCCATACTTCGGAGGTAACAAAGAACCTAATTATTTGGTCAAATCTAAATAATAAGAAAATACTATATAATAATACTACTAAATAGAGCATGGGGCGCTGAGTGTGGGAAGCGGGGCGAGATTTTCTCCTGATGATGACATTATTAGAGACGAAGATGTAGCGGCTAAATTGGAATTTCTTGAACTGATGATAACATTTTGAAGTCGGGGTAAAATCTATTTTCCTAATAGGTTACAGGTGTAGCAGTATTGGAAAGGTTAGGAATCACTCTAGAGGTACATACATTACGACACGATGCCTCACTGACACAAGGACCTTAGCAGTCGGGTAATTATGCTGGGCAGAAGCGCTGGTAACAACTCTGATAAAAATCCTCTTCAGTGATCCAGGGATCTAGAGTGAATAAGACACCGACACTTTTAGTATTGATTCGAGTTAGTGCTTACGTTTTAATTCTAATAATTTCAAAGTCCTTTTTATTCTTTTGATAAAATTTATTTTATCTACACTCATGTCGTAATATTCAAATAACGAATTTAAAGTTGTTTTTATGCACATGTACTTTATAAACGCACATTACATAAAATCTAAAATAATACAAGTTACAATAATGCTAACTGTATCGTAAAGTATCTTTTTAATCATTATAGTACACTTCTATTTTTTGATTCATGAAATTAGGCCATGATATTAGGCTGAATGTGAGAAAATACGCACTCATTCGAAGTTTTGTAGTACATGATTTCCAGCGGTTCCCATACAATTTTCTGCCGATCGTATTTTATTTTCAAGTTTTCAGAATAGTTTTGCAAAATGCTTCTTTGTTACCTAGCGATTTTTTGAAGTGATGACTTCTTATGGGATGGTAAACCGCTTCGTTACGTAACGCGTTACAGCACCAGACTGTTTGGCTTCCCTTCCTCTCACTTTCAGCGATAGGCAGGCTCCTTCTTTCTCACTCTTACCCGCAGCGCCGCTTAGATTATTTTAAGTTATCACTTCTGTCGTACGTCCCGAGACCGCACACGCCTTTCTTTATTTTAATTTGAAATTGTTCCTATGAGTGAAGATAAAATAGTGTATGCAACTGCATATAATTTAGGTATTAAAACACTCGAGTGAACCCTTAAAACAGACTCGAGTGTTTTAATACCTACATTATATGACAGTCGCGTAAACTATTATTCTATATTTCTACAGGTAAACAGAATTACGTGCCAGCACCTAGTCCAATGCCACCTTTAGATGGCTCCTATTACAACATGTCTTCGGACAGGTACCTGTCCTATCCACCGCTGATTGGGGAATACCTTCAACAAGTAAGTTAACCTTAAATGTTGTATCTTTATATATATAATTCTTCTGTGAGTGTGTATGTCACTGAACTTCTCTTAAACGACTGGACCGATTTTGATGAAATTTTTTGTGTGTGTTCAAGGGGATCTGAGAATGGTTTAGATTCACAATTTTGTCCGCTGGACAATGTTTTTTTAATTAATTTTTAATTTATTAGTAGTTGTTGATTTTGGAATGTTTTACATTGGATCCGACAGACGGCGCTACCATCGCAGTGTCAAATCTTTATATATAGGGTGAAATTGAATGTTTCTATGAAACTTCGTGAGATTGTTGGGTTATGTGTATAGAGTATGCCTGTCTTTTTTCGGATTTTTTTGAAGTATATTTTTTTCATGTATTTATTTATAATTTGTGTATTTTTATGTCCTTTCCTCGTTTTGAGTAGTTATTCATTTTAAAAAAACAAACTTACATATCCAGTGAAAAACAACTAATAAATAAGCACTTCTAAAAAACGGAAAAACATTGAAATTCCACCGCGGGTCAACGACCGACCGCGCCCGCCAGCCGTTGAGTAAGTAGCTACCTAACTCTAACCAGAGCTCAACTGACTCGTTTGATTCCACACAATAGGTACAATAAAATCGTCTTAAAAGATGCCTTTATTGAAATTGAAATAATAAGCACAAATGTCATCTTTTCTTAAGCAGAGAAAAGCTTTAAAAGTTAATAATAATTTTGTCACGATTGGAAATAGGCAAATGTTAAACAAAAAGAAATACTTATTGCTTAATACCCCAAGAATGAAATTTATAACCAGGTATTCAAAAGTACTTACGAGACCGGCGATTTAGGTAGGTACAACGAGGAACGAGGAACATATTCATTTTTTTCACTAGAACTTTTTATCAAATCAATCACACTGGTAGTACACAATTAGTTGTTTCTAATCAAAAAGTATTTACACTAGCAATAAAAAGAGACTTAAATTATTATCTGCAAAATTGTTGCTCTAAACCACCATTTTGCTGCAAACAAAGATTGCCTGTTTGTGGACGTGTCTTTTCACCTTTTTTAAAGTGTCCCTATCACTACTCACTGCACAAAATGCAACTTCTATGGTTTAGGGACTCATTCGTAAACCAAACCTACTTCGTCACACTCGCGATAGCAGTACACCATCTCTAAATATTCTTGGTTTGTATACCGAGGCATAATGAAATTATCACAGTGTATGTCACCAAGTCATAAGATGCGCACGCTCACGCGCGATTAATATACTTGCGACTGCGTTTTGCATGCAATCAAAGCAAACGTCCGCGTGCGGGGTAGAGGGGAGGTGGGCGGAATTCACATCATCAAAGACGCCGCAACCGGCGCTAGTTGCCAGCGTGCGGCGCGCCGCCCGCCCGTGCTTGCCGCAAAACAACATATTATTATGTGTGTGTGTGTGTGTATGTGTGACTGTGGCTGTGATTAAATGTGTTCGGAATTTCATGACGTGGGCAAATCAGACACGAAGAGTTCCTTCCTTCCCTAAGCTCGTAAGTTATACCGATTTGCTCTTAATTTTAAGAAGATTTATATTATTGATTAATTACCTGTGCTTTATGAAATAATATTCAAAGGTATTGTGTATCAGTGAATAAATAATTATAATATAGCATCTAAGACTATTTTATTGTATTGCTTTTAAATAGTGTGGATCAAAGCGAGTAGGTAAGCTCCGAGTCATCTGTGCGTGTAGTTAGGTACCTACAGGCGGCCGCCGGTCGTCGCCCCGACCGGCGCTGATCTCGACTGGAGGCATAATGAAGGCATTCATTAAGTTTCCGTTTTTTTATTAGTGCTTATTTTAAGTTGCTTTATAACTTCTATGTAGACGTGTTTAAAATGAATAATTACTCATAAGGAAGAAATGACAAAAAAATAACCAAATAAAAAATTAAAAAACGAAAAAAATTATTTTAAAAAATCCGAAAAAAATTAGGCATACTCTATACATGTAACCCATCAATCTCACGAAGTTTCATAGAAACATTCAATTTCACCCTGTATATAATTCTTCTGTGAGTGTGAATGTCACTGAACTTCTCTTAAACGACTGGACCGATTTTGATGAAATTTTTTGTGTGTGTTCAAGGGAATGTGTCAATCTGAGAATGGTAATTTTCATCAAAATGGTCCAGAATGTTTTAGCTTATTACAAATAAGTTTGAAATTTTCATATTAAAGACGTGTAGACAGGACAACGTCTGTCGGGTCCGCTAGTAACTTTATATAACCTTCATCATTCCTCCTTCGTAATTGTGTTAAATTTATTTGGCACTAGCAAATACCCGACAGTAAGATTCTGTATATGTTAATGAACAATTGATACATGGCTTGTATTCCATCCATTGAGAGCTAAATTCTCTTTTCATCATCATCATCATCAGCCTTTTAATGTCCCCACTGCTGGGGCACAGGCCTTCCCTATGGTTGGGATAGGGAGATTGGGACATGACCCACCACGCGGGCCCAGTGCGTATTGGTGGGTGCTAACGACTGCAGATGCAGCCGGGACCAAAGGCTTAACGTGCCTTCCGAAGCACGGAGGAGCTCGAGATAATAAATTTTTGGTCACCCATCCAATGACCGACCACTGTGAAAGTTGCTTAACTTCGACGACCCCAGCCGAACGCGCTAAATATAACTTTGCTATAGTTAAATCTAAAGAAAAAGTGCATTCGCCCGGATTGCGAAGGGTGCGGGTTCAAGTCCCGTCCGCTGCCTGGTTCGCCTGGATTTTTTTCTAGTAAAATTTTTCTTTCGATTTAAACATCTAGCAGTTAAATGCTTAAAAAAATAAAAACATAGTATTTTTTTCTTTATATTATAACCATTCCTGCAACAGACGACACTGCTATCCATAGATATACCACACGTATGGGTTTGATGAAAAAAAATATTTGAGTTTCAGTTTTAAGTACCCACAAAATTTATTGTTTTTTTCTATTTTTGGGTGAAAATCTTAATGCGATTCACAGAATACATCTACTTACCAAGTTTCAACAGTATAGTTCTTATAATATGTAGTTTCGGAAAAAAGTGGCTGCGACATACGGACGGACAGACAGACATGACGAATTTTAAAGGTTCCGTTTTTTGACGACCTCCGTGGCCGAGTGGTTTGTACGCCGTGTTTCATTGTGACGCCGACTCGAGAGGTCCCGGGTTCGAATCCCAGATGTTTGTGTGATGAATATGAGCATTTGTACTCCAGACATGGATGTTTAATATGTATTTATATATATATATATATATACTTATATATGTACAATATATGTATTCTATCCGTTATCCTAGTATCCCATAACACAAGTCCTACAGTGCTTACTTTGGGGCTAGGCTAATTGGTGTGAGTGTTGGAAAAATTTATTTATTTACATACGGACGGACAGACCGACAGACATGACGAATTTTAAAGGTGCCGTTTTTTGCCATTTGGCTACTAAGCCCAAAAAAAAAGACAAAAATAGGTTACACAATACTTTGACAATTTTAGACCCTATCTATATAGGCCACAGAAAATGTACTAACATATAGCAAAAGTTAGAATTTCGAGTTGAAAAGTTACAGGATCACGGTTTAACTATTATAATTGAGTCGTCACATACGAGTCAACTGAAATTGCAGAAGTTTTCACACAACATTTTGCACAATTTCACATATTACATTTCCTGTTGCGGCGTAAAGTTAAAGTGTGAGAAGGCTTTTGTAGTTTCCGTCTGTGGTTGTTTCTGAATGCAATTATAATGTCAACTGGACATTTGAGAGTATACAGATTCGTTTTAGAACCTGAGTAACAAATAAATGAAATGATATTACAAAGGTGTCTAAAATTAGGTAACTTTATCATTCAATAAATAAATAAATATTTCCAACACTCACACCAATTAGCCTAGCCCCAAAGTAAGCACTATAAGGCTTGTGTTATGAGATGCTAGGGTAACGGATAGAATACATACACTGTACATATAAGTATATTTATATATAGAAATAGATATCATCATCATCATCAATAAGCATCCATGACTGGAGTACAAATGCACGTATTCATCACACAAACATCTGCCCCCATCGGGATTCGAACCCGGGACCTCTCGAGTCGGCGACACCATGAAACCCGGCGTACAAACCACTCGGCCACGGAGGTCGTCGTATTTAGGATTATTTATTTATGTAGGATGAATGTATTGGTAAGCCGTCGCGTAAAATGATTACACTTGTGAAGATGGCGTCATGCTTTCATATATAAGGTGAAATTTTATGTTTTAATGAAACTTCGTGGGATTTTTCGGTTACGTATATAAAGTATCTCTGAATTTTTCGGATTATTTAAAATTTTTAAAATCAGGTTTTGGTGAACATTTGGTTCACTGGTTTGCTAAGTGAACCAAATGTTCACCAAAACCTGATTTAAAAAAAAGAAATGTATTTAATTAATTGAGAACTTCGGAGATTTTGTGTGATTTCGTTTGAAATTCGTGATTTCTCGAAAACCGGAAGTGCTACGTTACTCAAATCCGGTTTGTAGTCTTATCAGACTATTCTTAACTTATAACTTAAATATTCTCTTTATCTATCTCTTACGGTTTGGCCGCTGAAACAGCACCACAGACAGACGGACGGACGGACTTGTCTAATAGATAAGAGATGATTGTAAATAAAAAAAATGTTTTTTTTTTGCTATTTTTAATTCCTTTCTGTACTTTATAGACGTTACCCAATAATCCCACATAGTTTCATTAACACTTTAATTTTCACCTTATCTATTTGACGACCTCCGTGGCCGAGTGGTATGTGAATATGGTGTCGTCTACTCGAGAGATCCTGGGTTCGAACTCGGTGGGGGCAATATTTGCGTGATGAATACGTACGAGCATTTGTTCTCCAGTCATGGATGTTCAATATGTATTTCTATATAAATAAACTTAAGTACATATTTATCAGTATATGTATTCTGTCCGTTACTAGCGTTCGGAAATTTATTTATTTATCTTTTACTACATGATATTATTTATTTATTTATTATTATATTGCGAGGAGATCAATCGCGCAGGTGGCTAGCGCGGTCGTTGAAGTTAAGCAAGCTTCCTCCTGGGCCCGTGTGGGTCATGGCCCAATCTCCCTATTCCATCCATAGGTTCTGACCACAGGGTTCGAGTTCCCCCTCCTGGGCCAGTGTGGGTCATGGCCCAATCTCCCTATTCCATCCATAGGTTCTGACCACAGGGTTCGAGTTCCCCCTCCTGGGCCAGTGGGGGTCATGGCCCAATCTCCCTATTCCATCCATAGGTTCTGACCACAGGGTTCGAGTTCCCCCTCCTGGGCCAGTGTGGGTCATGGCCCAATCTCCCTATTCCATCCATAGGTTTTGACCACAGGGTTCGAGTTCCCCCTCCTGGGCCAGTGGGGGTCATGGCCCAATCTCCCTATTCCATCCATAGGTTCTGACCACAGGGTTCGAGTTCCCCCTCCTGGGCCAGTGTGGGTCATGGCCCAATCTCCCTATTCTATCCATAGGTTCTGGCCACAGGGTTCGAGTTCCTCCTCCTCGGCCCGTGTGGGTCATGGCCCAATCTCCCTATTCCATCCATAGGTTGAGGCCTGTGGCCAGAACCTATGGATGGAATAGAATGAATATGATATTGTCGTTGTGTGACACTGATTTGATTACCCCATTGTTGTGCAGCAGGCGGGGCGGACCCCGACGCCGCCGCAGCAGTACGCGGGTCACGGCGCTCCGCTACTCCTCAACGGAGCCCTGCCCACCGGCTCGCCCTCACATATGGCCAGCCCGCCGCTCAACTACGGGATGGACGGTAACATTTCTTTATAATTTTTTACCACGTACGACAAAACTGTGGAATATATTGTCGCCAGCAGTGTTTCTGGACCGATACGACCCAAAAACCTTCAAAAAAAGAGCGTACTCCTTCTTTAAAGGCCGGCATCGCATTTGTGGTACTCCTGGTGTTGCGAGTGTCCATGGGTGACGGTGATCACTTACCATCAGGTGAGCCGTCTGCTCGTATGCCCCTATAACATAAAAAAAAACGCATTTGCTCCTAAAGCGTCTCTCATTGCACCAATTTCAATATCATAATCTGTCACATTACAACACGCGTGCGGTAATGTAAAGTGAAACGCATGGCTTATTGTTGTCCGTCTAAAAACGAACGATGCTTTTTAAAATCTTAGCAAAGAGTTATTATGTCAGAAAGGTAGCCAACGTTTTCTTAATAAAATCAACTTTGGGAGATAAAATATAATATGTAAACATTTAATTCTTTAATTTGATTCATTTTGACAATAAATTACAACCATGTATCGGTAACGAATTTACAAAAATATTAATTTACTTTATTAGTAACACTAGTTTACTTATAAGTAAGAAAATGAGTATGAACCTGTAAATGGAAAAATTCTATAATGCGACTGTGGGCTCTCCTACATCGTGCAAACAAAGAGGAGTATAGGAACTTGGGTAAAGAACATATCGCAGATATGAAACATAGGCGCGAAAATAAGTCTGCAGTGTGTGAACATGCATTAGGGGGACCAAACCATTACATTAGATTTGATAAACCACAGATCCTAGCAACTGAGCAACGATTCATTCCTAGAATGATGCGCGAGGCTATTGGGATTAAAAAATATCCCAATTTAAATAAGCAATATGGTTGGTATTTACCACCAGCTTAGGAACCCATTATACAAGAGATAAAATCTCAACCCCGAGCACACACTGCAAGAGCAACAGATACTATTAGTTCTTTTTGTTTGCATGATTGAACATAAGAAGGAGATAGAAAGCCTCTCTGAGTTTGTTTCGCCGGCTCTTCTCAGAAAGGTCTCCCAATTTTGGAACCGGTGGTAGTTTACGGTAGTTAGGATCAAATAAATAAACTCAAGAAGAATTTTAAATAAAGTACTTTATTAACTAAATTAACTAATAAATTCATACATAGACAATAAAATTTTAAAAAACTTCCAATGAAATAACGCTCAATAAAAGTTTTTCGAAGGTAGCTCGACAAAATTAAATAAAAAATCAGTATCTGACGATGCGGACCTGAAAAGGCCGCGAAACGTCAATAAATAAATAAAGTTTCGTGCATTAACCCGTGAAAACTAGGTTTATTCAATTAATTGTTTAGGAAAACCATTTGTAAGCAGGTACATATCTAAATACAGTAGCAACTCATGGTTTCACATTGTCAACAACGCAAATTAGCAAGCGGACCAGTACGTTTGTTCGGACACCGCACTCTAAACAGTTGAACGTCACAAAGAGAATTGTGCAATCAGCGTTGAGTTCCGGAACTCCAATTGAAAGATTTGACGTTTGCATAAATGCAGGCTCGCATTCCAATTGAGCGGATTAATTGATTTAATTCTATAAAGAATCTACTGTACCCTTAGCACGAAGCAATATCGAATTCGAACAGTTAGCGAGTAGAAAATGTTATTGTCAAATTTTGTATAGAAACTTGAACAGCAGCGTCATAACGTACGTAACGAGAACTAAAAATCAGTACACATTTGGGTACAGTACTGGGTGTTTTTTCCTGCTCCTCACGACAACGGCTAACTAGAGCCGGGGGCCGAGTCTCAGAGCCGACCCCCTCAGGTTCGAGTGGTCTAGAGGCTCCAGACGGAGAGGAGACTGCCCCCGTGGGGAGATGCCATCCGCCTGAAATACCTCTAGAGGCACTCACCAATTCTCGGCTTGAAGTCCCCTTAGGATCTCGCCGTCCTCAAACCCGGTGACGCTGTAAAGGTCATCTGTGACCAACAGTATACAACGGGTTTCAACGTGTCGTCTACTCGAGAGGTCCCGTGTTCGAATTCCGGTGGGAGCAGATGTTTGTGTGATGAATACGAGCATTTGTACTCCAGTCATGGCTGTTTTATATATCAGTATATGTATTCTATATGTTACCCTAGTATCCCATAACACAAGCCTACAGTGCTTACTTTGGAGCTAGGCTAATTGGTGTGAGTGTTGGAAATATTTATTATTATTATTGACTTTATGCATGATTGTCAACAGGTCTGGACAGGCAGTCATCGGGAGGTACACTGAGGAGACAGAGGCTGGACAAAATGGCCGTCCCGCCGCCTGACGTCACCGTGCTCCACCAGGGTAATTGTACGCAGGTAAACATATTTACTGTTCATTTTACACTACATCCTGGGTTCCGAACCTGGGGGTAATTACCCCTCCGGGGGTAAATCAGCCATACTTCGGGGGTAACCAAGAACCTAATTATTTGGTCAAATCTAAATAATATGAAAAAACTATATAATAATACTACTAAATAGAGCTTGCGCTCATTCTTGCTAGCGAGCCCGCGGGGTGCTGAGTGTGGGAAGCGGGGCGAGATTTTCTCCTGATGATGACATTATTAAGGGCGAAGATGTAGCGGCCAAATTGGTATTTCTTGGACTGATGATAACACCTCAAAGTCGGGGTAAAATCTGTTTTCCTAATAGGTTACAGGGGTAGCAGTATTGGAAAGGTTAGGAAACACTGCACTACTTCATACAATGAAATTGCGTTTAACATATCTAAGTTGTGTTTTTGGAATAATAGCGACAGATAGCCCTCGTTCAAAACAGTTTCCGGGTGACTATTACACTTTTTTCTGGACTTATTCCGGATCTTTAATTTGCCCGGGTGTTTGTAATTTATTTTGAATATGAATTTTAAGAGCAGATATTGATTTAAATACCATACCATTGTTACTAAGTGAGTAATGGTACCATTTTGTGACTAAAAAGTCCGGAATTTTTTCGAAGTATCAAGTTTTTTGTCAGGACTTTTGAAATTCTTACATGATGACCCTTGAAAAAGTTGTGTTGGTCGAATCAACGTTATTGTTCAGAAAAAAAAGTGACAGGTCGCTATCACTTGTAATACACTTCTGGACACATCTATTGACCTACCTAACCTAGAAAGTCGATAAAACCACTTTTCTTGAATTTTATAACTATTATTAAAGTTATTTTAGTCACCCATCCAATGACCGACCACTGCGAATGTTGCTTATCTTTAACGATCGCAGCCGAACGTGCTAACCACCTGCGCCATCGAGTTCCTCCGTGCTTCGGAAGGCACGTTAAGCCGTTGGTCCCGGCTGCATCTGCAGTCGTTAGCACCCGCCAATCCGCACTGGGTCCGCGTGGTGGTTCATGGCCCAATCTCCCTATTCGATCAACAGGTTATCAACATCAAAAGGCTTGTGCCCCTTGCGGGGGTGGATTAATAGGCTTATGATGATGATTATAGTTAAATAAATATTTATAATTATAGTATAACTTTTATCATATATCTATTTGTTGTTCCAGCACCAGCCGCTATCACAGACGCCATCGGTGAAACAGCCCCAGTCCATACTGAAAGATCCTTCTAGACACAAATACGGAAACCAGTACGGCAGCCCGGTATCCTCGAGTACTCCACAAAACTCAAACTCGAGTCAAATACTCACAGTCCAAAACCTCACTTCGGACGTGCCCCAGTATGGCACGATACGCAAAGAGAAGAAACAAAACGTGACCATAGACGAATCATTCAATAAACGGAGTGAAACCCACGTCGTATAGACTATGTGTCAAATAATAGACAAGCCAAGAGACTAGTTCAAATTGTAGATAGGATTGAAATTGTTTTTTTTTTCTTTCAATGTGATAAATAAGTGTGTACAAAACGCGAATGATGTGCGAATGCCGAAACCTGTGAGTCGAACTCACTGGGTTTAAATTTAAAGTGACCGGACTCAGACTCACTGTTCGAATTTAGTGAGTGTGAAACTGTGAGTTGAAAATGTGACTATAGTGCCAATGTCGTGTTAGTGACTCGTCTAATCGAGGGTTTATATGTACATATATAAACTGCGTTAACAAAGTTTTGTCTCAGGTGAATTATAGAAAAAGACTATTCGAAGTAATTGGAACATTTATTTTTTGACTGTTAAGTTGTTCTTTGAACGAATGAATGGTTAATAGGGAAATGTGTCGCACTTTCTGGCCGTTTATAGTTTGGACTGACGCCTGGTTGTATTGTTCGACTGACCTATCATTATTATTAATTATTATAATAATTAATTACGAATAATCGCGATAACGTCCAAACGATGTAATGATGTTGACGACACTCTCTGTCCACTAAAATGTCATTATTTTAGAAATTTATATTTAATTAGATGATAATGAAATGGATAAAGAAAAATGTTTTATTAAAATTATTATTACGATAATTTTTCCAATTTCGCTATGCGGTTAAATCGATCGATTCCTACGATGGATCTCTTTTATGTTTTTTTTTTCGATATTATCTAAAGATTGTTACGGTATGAGCGTATATCGATTTTAATGATTGTGTGAATAACGATATAATGATATTTGGGAACATTTTGAATTTATCCCACGGTTATTTTATAACCGTTTGTTTTGAGATTGTTCTTAAGAAATGTTGGAAAGCGATTGTTTCTGATTAATAATGCATTAATGTTATTATATACAATATTGATTTCTAAATGTCTTTGTTGATGGCTGCGAGAAGGTTTATAATTATTTGTACAAATTATAAATTTTGAACTGATCCTGTTTAATATGTTTAGACATATTTGTTTTATTCAAAGAAAATTGACATAATAAAAAATGAAGCTTCACCATTGGTTGAGAACGAAATGAATGGTTTTTAAACATACATCACAATAAAGTACCTAATAGGATGAGCGCGCTCATTATTATTTTAATTATTTTGTAAATGTTTTAATTTTAAGTTGATTCGCATTTCACACAATGTAATACTGTAAATAATATTAAAAATTAATACTCCAATCGCGAACTGACAATAAATATAAATTTCTTTTTTAATTAATTTTCATAATTTATGCTCAGCTTAGATTGATTGTAAATAAATTCATGTAATTTTTCTATTATATTAATAGCTTTTCTACTCAAAAAATTAATCGGTTTAATATGAATACCAAAGTTTTATTAAGTTATTAAGCTATTATGTACTAATCTACACTTTATTTTTATTCTCGTTTTATTTTCAAATTCAAACCTGTAACTTATTTTAATTATTTTAAGTTCGTTTAATTTGATTTTGTGCGATTTTCAAATAACAATTATGAACAGCGGGAGACTCGTTTATTTCAAATGTTTGAAAATCCATCCATTGATAAATACGATTTTTTATATTTGAAGAAATGTTTGACTGTTACATTTCGGATTTAAATAAAAAACCTAATGAAAGAACATATTTTTGTTTTATTATTATTACTTATACGATTTATTTATTAAATTTATTTCACTTATTAATAATATGTTTTAATCCAATTAATAAAAACATATCAACCGATATTTTACATTTATTTATTTATTTAGAACGTTGTTTTTTCTTTCAATCACGAACTGAAAAAGTGCCAAATGTAGCTGTTTCCAAAAACAACATTTAGATAGAAAACTTTAGCTGTGTAATACGTCCTTCTCAATCTACTTCGTAAAAGTAAGTTTAGTAAATTATTAAAAACGTGCCTTATAATTTTACGCCATTTTTGAGAGTAAAATATCACTTAATATTATAATTGTGAAGGAAAAAAAATAGTGTTTAAAGGAAAACGAACTTTCTAGGTACTAAGAATTAAGTTTCATTTACACAAGTTTCGTTGGGATATAAAAGAGGCAAATGTCCAACTGAAATTTTTGAGAAAAATTAAAAAGAATAAATGTACGTACACAAGACTGAATTGTATAAGTTGTGTAATGAAATTATTATTTCTGGCAAGAAGTTAGAAAGATCTTTGCTATTCTTTGTTTAACATTTAATCTATCATTGTTTTTTCAGTGAGTATATTTCAGGAAAATTTAATCTCTAAAATTTCAGATGTCTCACAAATACGATAGTTATACATGTACAGTATTATAATAATTATTAACAATTTTGCTATGAAATAAAAACCGTCTCATTTCTGAGCGGATGACCTTCCTTTCATTAATGAAATACAAAGCAAGAGCTTGTCATTTAGTAAATAAGTATTAATCGAAGGTTCAAAAAATATTGTCAATACAATTTAGCTAATTGAAGTTTAATTAAAAAAGAGTCAATGTTTAAAAATCATCACGTAAGTATTTAAAGCCTTAAGGTTGGTTATTTAACAAGACGTGGTATGAAAATAAATTTGGGGTTCATAACAATTTATCATTAAATGAACAATAATCATTACATTTTTCATTTTATTAAATCAAAATCTGTTTAACAGTTGTCGAATTCAAATGTAAATATAGCTGTATCACGTCAATTTAGTTTTCTCGTTTCTTATAACTATTTCACTATAATTATTTGATTTACTTCAGTTTCTTCAGGGAAATCTTACGAATTTATATTTAAAATAAGACGGGCGCTGAAGAAATTCAAGTATAATGAAAATAAAGTGTTTTTTTTTTATAAAAAAAATGCATTTTCTCTCATTGTAAAATATAACCACTTTAACATAAAAATAAGGTTGTAAATTGTTCGATAATTCCGGATGTGACTTTGATATTACGTACGTAAAGCTCATGATTGTATAATCGGCATTAATTGAATTAAAGCATACATGTTAATGAGTTTGTTTCATTTCAATATTGCTATTTATTTAGTAGCATATCATTCTGTTGAGGAGCTCGATGGCGCAAGTGGTTAGCGCGTTCGGCTGCGATCGTTGAAGTTAAGCAACTTTCGCAGTGGTCGGTCATTAGATGGGTGACCAAAAATTTACTATCTCGAGTTCCTCCGTGCTTCGGAAGCACGATAAGCCGTTGGTTCTGGCTGCATCTGCAGTCGTTAGCACCAGCCAATCCGCACTGGCCCCGCGTGGTGGGTCATGGTACAATCTCCCTATTCCATTCATAGGGAAGGCCTGTGCCCCAGCAGTGGGGACATTAATAGGGTATAATGATGATGATGATATCAACTGTTTGCATGTACCTGTCGCAGGCAATTTTTATGATTCCGTGTTTTACAAACGGTGGCGTCCGTTTGAAACCGCTCGCCGTTTTAAAATATTCCGAAGGCAAATTGACGACTCGTTCAATTGTTAAAATTTCGATATTGATTGTCGTAGTAGGGTGACCCTCATAAAACACAGGTTGCACAAATTAGTTTTTATTTCAGAAATCAGGTATCTATTCAAATAGGAATCACTTAAAAACATGCATAGGCACTCCTAAAGGAATTAATTAAGTAATAAAAACAACACTAAACTAATTTAAACTGATTTGAAATATGATAATATTTCTACGAGAACTCTGCCGACAAACTGCGTTGCAGTTTGGCAGATATAATGTAATTTTACATGTAAATTTTTTTGCTGAATAAATTAATTAAATAAAAACTGAGGACGTACGTAACAATAATGCAACTTTAATGTATAATCTGGCACTTTCAATTAAAGACTAGGTAACGGATAGGACTGGGCGCCATATTGTGACGTCATAGCTGTCAATTCAAACAAAATAGGAAGAGTGAGCAAAAAAAAGTTTTTATTTACGAAAACTTATTTACTAAGATTAGGTGAGAAAAAACATCAGATTTTTTAATAAAATCATTTATTAAGTTAGAGAAAAAAACCAACCGATTTTTAATAATATTTTTATATTAAGATTGTGTGAGTAAAAAAAATTAAACAGAATCTAGCTCTTCAATTCCGCTCATCTCAGCATTAACGCCGGAGTAACTACTCCTAACTATGAATAATCATATATTATGGCGAGGTCACAAACGAACATGCATCGTTTATGTAAACGAAAGTTTTAAATCGACTTTATGAACGCAACTTAAAGTGACATTTGGTTGACGATTTAGGTTATCAAACAGTCATAGCCAAAGCTCAAAAAATGAAAAAAAATATTAAACAATATTAAATATTAATATTTGTTATTGTTTGTTTACAAATGTTTGGTTTTTATTCTAGAATTAGCCGAGTGCTAATAAAGGGTTCCAAAAAATTTTTGCAAACAGTACTTTTCAAGCGACATTTGACAGATGGAGGTCATTGGCTTTCCTATTCTTATTTGAATCGCATTATACATAAATTCAGCTCACGATAATCAGTTATTAAATGTAAGAACATTTGAGTTAAAAAAGTCTTATAATTAAAAAGTAACAAAAGTGAAAATGTCATGTATTATCATATTTTAGTGACATTTGGCATTATATTAAAAAATATTCACAGCATCAAACATTTAAAAACGTTATAATGTTTTCCCCTATGAATCTAACATTATATATATCTTTATATATATAATTCTTCTGTGAGTGTGTATGTCACTGAACTTCTCTTAAACGACTGGACCGATTTCGATGAAATTTTTTGTGTGTGTTCAAGGGGATCTGAGAATGGTTTAGATTCACAATTTTGTCCGCTGGACAATGTTTTTTTAATTAATTTTTTTTATGGCGGTACGAAGTTCGCTGGGTCAGCTAGTAATATATATATATATACTAGCTGACCCAGCGAACTTCGTACCGCCCTAAAAAAATAGGGGTTGTCCAGCGGACAAAATTGTGAATCTAAACCATTCTCAGATCCCCTTGAACACACACAAAAAATTTCATCAAAATCAGTCCAGTCGTTTAAGAGAAGTTCAGTGACATACACACTAACAGAAGAATTATATATATAAAGATATATATCATAATATTCTTCTAAAGGTATTTTCGAACAGGCATTGGCCTCACAGGGCTGTCTTTTTCGGAATAAGATTGGTCATATCAAATAACAATACCAAGTTATTCCGCAAGAGTCCTTCGATCACCAGAGTTCATGGACACGTTAGCCTTTTTTGGGGGCCAGATTAACTCAAAAATTTCGTCATTTGTCCACAACTTTTTTACTGTTCCTATGCTGTGCCCCGCGGGTGACACCGCGGTTTATTATGGGACATTTTTCCGCAGTAAAACGTAGCCTATGTGTCAACTCAGGGTTTCAGCTAACTCCATACCAAATTTTATTATAATCGCTACAGCCATTTAGGCGTGAAGAAGTATCAAACATACACACTCACAAACTTTTGCTTTTACAATATTAGTGTGATTTACTATTATATATGTTCTTAAATCAATACTTTCTTTTGTGAAAAGCTCTTGAACACTTAGAATTTGCACTGGTTTCAATATTTTTCTGTGTCACAAAACCACTCCGCGACGCCATTTTTCTTGTTTTCATTATCAGCGTCACGCGTGGTAAGTAAACTAAATAATTCAATTTGTCGCGGCATTTTGTATACGGCGATTGGATTGTCTATCAATTAATGTTGTAGCATAATAAATAGTGACAAGCCAATTTACATTTAGCCTTCGGCATATTTTAAAACAGCGAGCGTTTTTAAACGGACGACACCGTTAGTAAAACGCAGATCTACAAAAATTGCCTGCGACATACCTACTCATCGACCTATAACGATCAGCTGTATGCCGTTAGATAGCACTTCTCATGACTATCATTTGTTACTATGGGGGAAAATAATATCAGGGTTAAAAGTGAAATGAATACTAAAAAAAGTGGGTGCGTGTACTTATGTAGGCTCGTGAGAAGTTCCTTCCTTGGCATCGTTTAAAATTAGATTTTAATTGCATGCATGCATATTAATTACAATAAATTAATAAAAAGTCTGGAAAAGGACACAATCAATAAAGTTCAGTTTTAATTTGAAAAAATAAAGAAATAATCAAAATATTCAATTAAAATCGCTACTGAATATAATTTATTGACGTGACAACGTCTTAAATTAGGTTGCGGCTGGGAGTCACTTATGAAAAAGTGTAACGCTCGGTAACGTTACGATGAGTCTCTCGTGTTAAGTTTAAGTTTACATGTACAATGTTTTAGTAAACAAAATATATTTCTATAGTTAAAATTTGTGCAATTCTTATTTTCATTCAATTCCTTGTTCCTATTGTGCAATTTAATTATATTCATATCAATAAATATTCTACCGAGAAAAAGACGTTGTCACGTAAAATCTTCGCCCGTAAAACCGACTTTACAGGCAACCATTTTTTGAACATATGTGATTTGCACTTGTATGAAACTCAAACACGTATTCCGAATATACAAACTAGAAACATGTGGATAAATATTTTAAATATGAATACCTATAACTGTTACTTTATTACAAAAAAGAAAGATGTGGTTTTTGGTTCTACTACAGCAATGGTCAAGAGATGGCGCTGTAGTCTCCTGAATCGCGCTTTGGTTCCGTTGTTCCAGATTAATAAATACTTTTTGTTACTTTATTACAAAAAATAAAGATGTGGTTTTTGGTTGTACTACACCAATGGTCAAGAGATGGCGCTGTAGTCTCCTGAATCGCGCTTTGGTTCCGTTGTTCCAGATTAATAAATACTTTTGATAGGCCTTCACAATGCAGTCGTTAGCACCTACTAAATAGAGATTCTATTTCTATTTTGTTGGTAGATTTTCTTAATGTGCGGTAAACACAAAAGTAACGCATGAAGTTGGTCGCTAAAGCTCGCTAAAGCGACCAACTTCATGCTGTTAAAATTTTGTGTTACAGTGATGCGCGCGCATCTTAAAATTTCACTCTCATAATTTTTTCATAACGCGCCTAAAGAAGTAAAACTTCAAAAAGTTATTTACAGGATTGTTACCATGTACCTTGTTTTTAGCGAGTTTCCGATATTACTGATGATTAATGATATTTGAATCTAAAGAAAGGTATGCTACAAAAAAATCCACGCGGACCAGGCAGCAGACGGGACCTGACATGCCTGGTCCACTTGGAATATTTTCTAGTAAACTTTTCTTTAGATTAAACATCTAGCAGTTAAACGCTGAAAAAAGAACATAACTAGATATATGATGCATTGCAAATTCCGAACCAATGCATCCATCTTCCAGGAACTGTCCATAAAACAACGTCTGTCTTCCATCGTACAAGGTCGTAATCTAACTTTCTTTGGCCACATCTCACGCCGAGAAGATGCGTCAGTGGAACGACTGGTGGTGCAGGGCAAAGTCGAGGAAGGCGCGCGGCAGATCACCAATGCGCTGGACTGACCAGATAAAAGCGGCACTGAATGGTCAACTTCACGAGTGCACGAGGAAGGCCGCAGTGATGAACCCTGATGTGACGATCACGACAACTCTGTCAAGATTGTAGCGCCGAAGAAGAAGATATATGATGTGTTACTCCGTGATCATGGCACATGCAACAGTGCCGAAATATCAGAAACTCGCTAAAAACAAGGTACATGGTAACGAACTCGTAAATAACTTACATTACTTTAATGTTAGTGACTATGAAAGTTTCAAACAATAAAAAGTCTTTTATTTCTGTTCTTTTTTTGGCTATAACTTTTTTCCCTTTGAGGAGCTCAATGGCGCCAGTGGTTAGCGCGTTCGTTGAACTTGAGCAACTTTCGCAGTGGTCGGTCATTGGATGGGTGACCAAAAATTTACTATCTCGAGCTCCTCCGTGCTTCGGAAGGCACGTTAAGCCGTTCGTTACGGCTGCATCTGTAGTCGTAAGCACCCACCAACCCGCACCTGCCTGCGTGGTGGGTCATGGCTCAATCTCCCTAATCCATCCATATGGAAG